GTCAGAGGCCGGAGGAGACATGGTCCTACAGTGACAGATGCCCTAATGGCCGGCTTTACACCCCTGCTGCCCCACCATGTGTAAGACCTGGAGCGGAGCTGAACAGAGCAGAGCTACAGTGATCAATAGTGTTCATTGAAGGGCCCTGCCCTGCCCCTCCTGGCTGGGGTAATGGTCCCTGGGTGGGAGGTAGGAATGACGTGTGTTGTCCCTGTCCTGTTGTCCCTGTGGATGGATCACTCTTCCCAGGCTGGTCCTGGCCCGTGGGGCTCTGTAGGCTGGCACACAGGCAGCTGTCACACACCCACTGGTCCCTGACACCACAAACTGATTTATACTCTCCAACCTTAAAAACATTGCTTTAAGAAAAGGAAACATTCTTGTTTTAACCCCAGTACATATGCTACTGTAAGTAGCTACTTGTTTATGCATCAACCTATCATACATCACTGTACACATGTTGTGTTATTATTATTACTAACAGATCCAAATGGCTGAATTCTCATGTATCACATTGTAAACTTGACTCAACATGCTAACCAACTGACTTCTTAGTGTGTGTCCAGAGAGCAGTTAGATACTTAATAGGCCATGTCCTCTTTGTTCCAGTGTCACCTAAATCCCAGGCAGCACTAAACATCCCCAGTTATAAAAGAGTGTTGTCAGTGCTGTAGTAGGGGTAGCAGAGTGCTGACAGGACATTGTTTAGTCAACACTACACCAAGAGGGTGGTTGGAAAGTTCCAAAACAGCCTGGGGCTCTCATTTCTAATACGTCTGACGCCAGAGCCAGCAGCCATCTGCAGTGCAGGTGCTCTCAACTCACCTACAGGATTGTCTAAGTTTACTGGTTACTATGAAGATGATGAAGATCAAGATTACAACTCTCGTGATGGGAGAGTGACAAACAAAATGGGAATTACTGAAGATGGAAACTATATATTTGTGTATTTCTATGACTGCAGCTATAGTGCACCTCCACGTTTTCCCTTGGAAGAAAATGGAGAACAATCTGATTCCATTACACTGTAACACGTCAAATGTGTCAGACATGAGTTCCTCTCACCCACCACTCCCTAATATACTGTAGGTATAAATCCTGCTGCCTGCCCAGAAAGGGTTTATCAGGAAACTGTGCTTGGTGCTGGAAGCCTGTCAAACAAGGGAGGCTGCACTGCAGTCACATTCACTGGCAAATACGCTATGTTCTTCAAAAAATACTGCCATTACTGCTTTGAAAATGTTGAGGTTTGCTGCTGAACTTAAATATTTTATACAAACTCTACAAAAACTCTACTTTGCAGAGGATTTGCATATGCAGCATTGCATAACTACATGTGTAGCTCCAGTTTCAGATGAAACAGGGCAGCAGAGTGCAGTGTTGAGGACAAACAGCACTGGGTTCTCTAGTCATAACAGCAGGTGATTTCTCTTCGTATAGGGCGACATGGTTAGATCCAGCCTCAGATCCATTGGCAGAGCACATCAAAAGCTCCATTGATTCACTGGACAGATTGGAGCATAGAGATCAAATGTGCTGTTAAGAAGTGTTAAACCGCTGTGCCTTAAATGGGGGCAGGTTTTGGCCTAAAAGGGGCCATCTGTTAACACTGTAGCTAATTTCCCATTGCACTTACCCAGTGTGTTGATACTGTTGGAACAGTGAACAAAATAGGCACATATCGGACATGACATAGTTCTTACACTGGCAATGAGACAATACAGATTTACAGTAAAGAAATGTGGACACACAGCTGAAATAAATGCTTTGATCCCCCTTGACTTGACCGGTGATGAAGGCGTATCTTCATCTTTCAATATGTTTTGGAAATATATTAGCATTGATAGAGCCTTAGAGAAATGTGTAATGTCAGTGTTGTGCTGGTACACTCACACATTACTTTCAAGACTAATACAAGACTTAAGATCAATGTAATAAGGGTTGATTTAGGTTGGATATTTGTAATGGGATGTCAAGGGAGTTTCATTAGACACTGCACATTCTGACCTAAAGGCTATAGAAGATTAGCCTCGTACGAACCATCCTGATCTGGCGAGCTTACGTTCTGTTGTAGCCATGTAGAGAAACAGAATGTAAGCTCACCAGATCAGAATAGTTTGTTTGAGGCTAATAGAAGATAACCTGGCCAAAGAAAAGATGGCTTCAGGCAATTTATCATTAGTAGAAACGATTAGTAGCAGCAGCGCTTAAAGCTAAATCCAAATGCACTTTCATACCTTCTTGTTTCCCAATGAAAATTGTATTTCTAAAGGTTTCAGATCCAAGCTAAAAGGCAGGAGAACAATCACAGAGAGGGCAGCTTTACAAAACACTGCCACAAAGAAAAATGACGAGCGATAAAGGGCTGCTGCAGATGGAATTATGGACGGCCTATGTCTCGTTTCCAAAGATGTGTTTACACAAGGCATGCAATGAGAGGAGAGAATAGAGACAGTTAGGTTATAGTTTGCATTGGCAGAGTGTAAATAACACTAGGGTAAAGGCTGAAATGTCATATTATTTCAGCCTAGAATCTTAAAATGCTCAAATAAATAAGTGCACAAAAATAGTGATAAAATGGGATTGGGGTAGGTACGGGGTGATGGGTAAATATTGAGAAAGTTTGATGACACCATTATGAGTGTAGAATACTGGAGATACAGCTCCATAGGCCTATATGATGCTGTCTGTTTTTGTTTATCATATTTAGAGGATGTAGGTTACAAATCCAGGCAACTTAACTTGTACAGTTATTAATTTACCACCTCTTAAATTATTCATGTGTATAGATGTTTTGAAGTGTGTATGAGGGGCCTTGGGTATGACTCATTAGCACAGTACTGAAGCTCACCAGTTTCCTTCATTCAGTCAGAATAAACAGGCTTTTAACCGATTGCATCCATGCTATCACTTAAGAAAACAGGAACATAACCCTACAGAAGTCTGGCTGAGCTCTGGTGCTATGACTCTGATCTCCTGACATTCTGAGCATCACTGCTACTGTACGGGTTGAGTTAACCTCTCATCTACACAGACCAGTCTGAAGACTCCAGCGATTCTCCACAGGACCAGTCCAGTGTGCCACGGTGAATGGTGGGAAAAGGGCTCCAGTGCAGTGGAGATGTAAGATGTCCGGGCCTCTTACTCACATGGCTGTTCAGACTCAATAGTCCATTGTCCCTGTGCTCAACAGAGTCGCCTTCCACCAATAAGTCAAACGTGGGGGGTGTAAATGAGGTCATCTCTGCAGGAGTGTTCTGTCGTGAGACACCTTCATCTGGCCAGGGAACGGTTAGTAAATCCTGTTCCCTCACTCCGCCACTGTAAATCCTGCTGGACAAGGCAGTCTGCTCAATAAGTGATAAAGCCAACAATGCTGCTACCCAGCATGAGTCTATGTGTGATAAAACTGTATAGAGGGTTTCAGTGATTTGTTTAAGTCCTACATTTACTTAATTGGGTTCATTTTGGTTTCCTTCTCTCAACAATCATTTGATCTTAAAAAGGAAAGAGGGAAAGTTATTTAACAGCTTGGCTGGATATTACAAGTTCAATAAACATAGCTGTTTAAGTTAAACTAACATACAGTGAGTAGGACTACAGTCAACCCCCACTTCATTTTCCAGAATTGGCTGTCTTCCAGTGAAGGTCATATAATGGTGATTGGTTGAGCAGGTGGCATGGTATTTTACTGGGCATTTATTTAATAGATATCAACAAAACATGAACAGGGTAATTAACACTTAGTTTACACAAAACATACAACAAGAATCAAATGTGTTTACATGAAACACACAACAATAATCAAATGTGTAAACAAAAACATTTATAAAGTTGAAAAACAATATTGATTTAATGCACTAATAAAAGTACATATCTTGATAACCTCTGTTACAGTAAGTCTGTGAGAGAATGAGACTGCCAGTTTGGATTTGAGCAGTTCTTCACATTTCTGAGGAGTGGGCACCTTTAAAGAGTTATGATTTTTGAGGCCCATGGTTTGGATAGAGCTCAGCTCATTATCATACAGCTGTATGGTTATCTCCCGCTTTGTCTTCACTATTCTATATAATATGTGACATTAAAAAAGATGTGTGGTCGGTGATAATGCGAGGCACGCGACCAAAGAGGCACGCGGCGTCTTTGTGGATGAGGGCGCACCCAATGACGCACGGCCAATTGGAGAGTGCAAAATGGATACACAGGTAAAAAAAAAAGGAAAGGGTAATCCGTTCTTATATTCATTTCGTAATTACTGATACAAACATCAAATAAAGAGGATGAAAAGGAATTGCTATTAATTAATAAAACAATAATTACTTAAAATATATTTGGAATAAAAATGTGTAATAAAATGTGATTTCTATTTGTTAAACAAATTCAAACCTACTATAAGGCTACACGTGCTGAAAAACCCTTTCAGTGAAACAAAAACATATCAACAGATGCCGAATTGTTGATAGTCAAAAGTCTGTCTCCTGCGAGAGACAACGGCAGGATTATTAAAATTGGACATGAGGGTTGGTTGCAGCAGGCGTGGATGGAAAGGGGCGGCGTTTATTGATTGACAGTATTCATAATGAGTACACAAGTATATAACTTGTGCCGAGACTTGAAACACCCTTCATTAAGAAACAGAGTGCTCTGTGACTGATGTCCTGCCACATTTTCACAACAATATTGGCGCCACCAGAAGCTTTCTGTATAAGCAAAGCGCAAGAGTTGCATCGACACAACATCAAGAGAAAACACATTTTCAGCAGGATCAGGATGGAAGGTCAACGTAAAGACAGAAGGATGAATAAACTGTGGATATTGACGTTACTGTTATGCGTTTAACCTGCATCTCACTGTCTGGATAATAAGGTTTCTCAACTTCTGCGCGTTTTGGATTGCGGAGCTCGGGTCTCGTCCAAAACGGTTTTGAAGAAGGATTTATTTATTTCTCATTTCCAAATTTCATATTTCATCATCACTGCTTGGAATAGGAGCCCTCTGTGGAGAACAGGTTATTTTTCAAAGGATACGAACCGATCTTTGGAAAAGAATGGCAACTTGGTTTACCTTTATCATCGCAATTATTATAACGATTTTTACGCAGGTAATTTTATAGTTAAACTATTATTGGAGTCGTTCATGCCTGTGTTGACACAGCAACAGTGTAATAATACACAATATAATAGCATATAATACGCCTATAATAATGCAGAATGTAAATGATTGCAATTAAATATTGTTCTACATATTAATTGATTCTCCTCCTTTAGGTTCTGGGATCTGGTGTATTCGAGCTTGATCTTCATCAGTTTCAGAATAATAGAGGTTTGCTGGCAAACGGCATAGCTTGCAGTCCAGCCTGTAGGACTTTTTTCCGAGTTTGCTTGAAGAACTACCAGACCGTAGTGTCACCAGGTGACTGCTACTTCGGCAGTGCCGTTACACCTGTACTAGGCACCAACTCGTTCACGGTCATGGAGGACGGCACGTTCACTAAACCTATTCGCCTGCCAGTCACCCACTTTGCATGGCCGGTAAGACGCTATAATACCACATTGAGGTGGTTGAGAATATATCTGCCTATTGATACATGGAATAACGGTGTTTGCAATAAGATGAGTGGTGAAGAGCTAAGCATAAATCAAACGACTGCACTAGCCTATATGGATGTGCATAACATGAAATATGAGGATTTATGATAACATGTTATTATGTTATTAGCCTAGTCTACATATAATTCAATAGATATTATCTAAAGAAAAAAAAGAAAAGAAAAAAGATGTGCAACTGAAAAAATGAAACTCATTGTAGGCTAATATTTTTTATCCACCTGTCCTTCTAGGGCTCGTTTTCTCTAATCATTGAAGCATGGTATTCTCCTTCAGCGGATCTACCTGAAGGTGAGTGGCGCGCTCCATACATGACCACCACTAGAGGGATACATGGCACTGTTACAGATGCATGACAAATACTCCCTATGCACTAGATTTAAATCATTACGCAGTATAAATAAATGCAATTTATACAGAAATGTTGCAGTTATAATGAAACTTGGAAACGTGAACGTGTTGATGTCCATGTGTCATGATGAATTACGTGCAACAGAACACTTCTTTCATGCTCTGTGTCCAACACAATCGCACTTCCTCTAGTTTATTTTAAGCGTGGGAAAGTGTGCAAGTCTTTAGTGAGGATATCTAAACCTTGCCAAAAGCCACTGACTGCCTTTCCTGTATTTTACACCTTTTGCTGTTCCGCCCTTTGGAAGGGGAATAATGGGTTCAAAATGTTTTGCTGACATAAAGGAAGATGACATTTCAATCGCAGTTGAAAAAATTGCGCACAGGCCTTGATATATGCCTATCATAAACTGATAACTTGCATTAAACATTTACATTCTATATATCCTATTGAGAGAAATAATTAAAGACAATGTGCACTGTTTGTTTGGCCTTTTTAAAAAGCATGCAATCATACAGTAGTAGCCTATTTGATAGGCCATACTATCTTGACACGTGTTTTGTTCTCTATCCCAGCAGATACAAACAACCCTGCCTTATTGATTAGTTATTTTGCCATTCAAAGAAAGTTGGAAGTAGGGGATGAGTGGTCCCAGGATGTGCAGAGTGTGGGGCAGACGGAGTTAAGGTACTCATACCGGTTCATCTGCAATGAAAATTACTACGGGGACAGTTGTTCCAAAATATGCGCTCCAAGAGACGACCATTTTGGCCACTACACCTGCAACCCTGACGGGCAAATATCATGTCTACCGGGCTGGAAGGGACACTACTGCGAAGAACGTAAGCAATCAGAATAAAATGTTCTGGGTTTCTTAAGAATACTTTTCACATTATGTAGCAGGATGTTATTTCTAGAAGTATTTGCATAATAGGACCTATAGTGTCGAGATGCTGGTGCTCTAGAAAGGCTTAGATTTGCATTTTGGAGTGACAAGGATGAGCGAAAATAGCGCGGCGCGCTCCCTCCCAACCCAGCCCCTTCACCCCTAGATTTCTCACCACTTTGGGCACATGTGGGTAGAATAATCCGGGTAGCGTTCTGGGAAAGCAGCACGCGCCGGGTTAATCGCGGCATTATTATCAGCCACGCGCCACTAAATTGCGGGCTCTATTGTTGAGCGGTAGGGCAGCAGCTGCAAACAGGGTTCAACAGCCTACGAACAACAATGGGGCAGCTGTCCGCTTTTGAGAGCAAGCATCTGCTCAGGCCTAACCAGCCGTTAAACACTAGTCTTGTAACCATGCAAATTCAATGTCACAACACAGAAACAGCAAATGAAGGTTTAATTAGAAATAGACAGGTAACAGTTTTGATACTACAACAGTGGGAAGGGGATACTTAATCGAAGCCAGAAGCTTTATGATGTATTGTTGAATGAGTTTACAAAAAATTAAGTTCCTGTTTTGTCAATTTTTTGTATGCAGCAATTTGCCTTGAAGGGTGCAGCAAAATGAATGGAAATTGCTCAAGGCCAGGAGAGTGTGTGTAAGTATACAATAGTTATTCTATTGTGTGTGTGTCTCTCTCTGTGTGTGTGTGTGTGTGTGTTTACATGCATGCTTGCCTGCCTGCCTGCATGTGTATATGCCTGCATGTGTATATGCCTGCATGTGTGTATGCACACAGTGCTAAAGGTGTGGTGTTTTGTCTGTGACAGATGCAGAGAGGGCTGGCAGGGAACCTTCTGTAATGAGTGTAAGAGGCATCCATCCTGCAAACATGGCACCTGTCAGCAGCCCTGGCAGTGCTCCTGCAAAGAGGGCTGGGGAGGCCTCCTCTGTGACCAAGGTCAGTGTCTTAGGCTCCTCTGTGTCCTGCTGTGAAACAATACAGAAGTACTGCTGTTCAATAGCCCATAGGGGCAAACCACAGGACATGCTATATGACAGTAGAAATATGACATGTTCCTATAACATTGCAAGAGCAAGAGTCATCAGGCATCCTGATTATGATAGGAGACTAGAGGCAGGGAGTAACAGTTTTTCATATACACATTCATCCACAGATCTGAACTATTGTACCCATCACAAGCCATGTCGTAACGGGGCCACCTGTATGAATACGGGCCAGGGAAGCTACACCTGTACCTGCCAGCCGGGCTTCACAGGGGACAAGTGTGACAGCGAGGTCAAGGAGTGCGACAGTCAGCCCTGTCGGAACGGAGGCCAGTGCTTGGTAAGCCCGGAAAGCCTATCCATTTCCCAAAACACACAGCACACACAGGCTTTCCTGTTATTGTTTTTCCTCTATCTACTCCACATCTCTGGGCCAGATAGAAGAATGCAACAGACAGACCTTTAGCCAGTTCACATACTCTCTCCTGTAAATGAATGTAATTCAAACTGGGGCACAGGGGGCATGAGAATTATGAGATAATAATGTGGAGTCGCAAGGGCATCGAAATGAGAGGCACAGCAACAAACCTACACTGCTCTTTTTGCTGGGATTGTTTCCTGTGACAGTGGGCTGTGATAACCTCTGTCTATCTGTGGCCAACAGGACCTTGAGAACGGCTATAGGTGTGCATGCCCACAGGGGTTTGAGGGGACGCACTGCGAGCACAGAATGCTGACTTGTGCCGATTCACCCTGCTTCCACGGGAAGTGCAGAGAAAGGGACAACGGGCGGAGCTACTTGTGCGAGTGCCCAGGGGGCTTCACTGGACTCAACTGTGAGAAGAAAGTGGACAAATGCACCTCCCTGCCCTGTACAAATGGTATGTGATAGTTTCCACTCTCTCTACATCTCAACAACAACGATTAGAAGGAATTTGTTTATTGTCTTTGAGTTATTTTCTACACTGTCAGTACAGAGCACTTAGTCAAACAAATCAATTTGGAATGTTCTCTCTAGAGACATCTGCATTAGAGCTAACCTAAAGTGACTATGATGTGCACTGTTTGATAATGCTGGTCTACTCTGTTCAGGTGGACGTTGTGTTATCCACGGCACCACACGCTGGTGCAGCTGCCGCTCAGGATTCACCGGCCTGCGCTGCGAGATCAACATCAATGAGTGTTCCATGAACCCCTGCGCCAACGGAGCAACTTGCATGGACCGCATCAACGAATATACCTGTATCTGCCCCCTGGGCTACACCGGCCGCAACTGTGACAAGCCCACTGACAGCTGTGCCTCCAAACCATGCCTGAACGGTGGGACCTGCACCAACGGGGCCAAAGGCCAGCCTGCTGACTGCACCTGCCCAGCCCACTTCAGCGGCACCCAGTGCCAGTCCTACGATGTGCCTTTACTCATCCCCCCCAGCCCCAGACCCAGCCCCAGTCCCGTCAGAGAGCCCCAGGACAGGCTCCACTGGGCAGCCATCTGTCTGGGTGTGGGCCTGGTGGTGCTCCTGGTGCTGATCTGCATGGTGGCCATGGTCCTGCGCCACATCCAGCAGCAGAGGAAGAGGGAGCAGGACTCAGAGACCATGAACAACATATCAGATGTCCAGAAGGAGAACCTCATATCTGACCTGCAGCCGAAGAACACCAACAAAAAGGTGGACCTGGACCTGGAGGTGGATTGTCCCAGGAAGAAGTTCCAAAACCACAAACACATCAACTACCACTTGGACTACAAAACCTCCAAGGACTACAAGGATGAACCGTCACAAGAGGATAAAGATGACAACTGTAAAAAGACCATAGAGGAGAAAATGCCATTGAGTAGAAAGTACAGGTAAGTTCAAATGCTGCCTGCAGATGACAACCTGGATAGATTTTGACCTACTTCCTATTCTCCAGTTTTTGATAAATGACAGTGGTTTGGATTTGTGTTTAAGTGTTGACATGTTTTTCTTTTCATTTACAGTGAAAGGCCAGAGTGTAGGGTATCAACGATATGTTCTCCAAGAGATTCTATGTACCAGTCTGTGTTTGTGATAGCAGAGGAGAAAAATGAATGCGTCATAGCAACTGAGGTAAGCTTATTTTTTCAAATTTCCTCTGAACATGTTCCTGCAACTCTTGACAACAGTTATCAATCAGCAATGCAAAAGTTGATCAAGGTTTCCATTATATTGCTCCGATGATTCAACTAGTTAACTTTTTTTCTTCTACTACCAGGTATAATACATGGAGGGTATCAGCCATTCTGAAGAATGGATATCTTCTGGACTGTTTACAGTGTAGAAACAGACAGGGATTTATTTCACTGTGAATTGCTGCTCTTGAAAACTTGATAACTGGACCGAGCCGGTGTGCTCTATGAATGCAATAGGACTCAAACTACAGACCTTTGTTAGAATGTAAGGACTGAACAGACTGTGAGAAATAATACACAACTTGGACTTTTGGATGTTTCACCTTCAGGGTGTACTGACAGATTCAGCCCCTTGACAGGACGTTTCCCACCATATCCATGGAAAATAGGCCTATGTGTTTATGCCAGCATGCCAATCAGCAGGACGAGAGGGCTCTTTCTGGAGATACTCCACCTTATTGTGATAATCAGAAACCAACCAATCAACTTACTGCCAACAAGCCTGTGGAAGGAGCCAGCTACTTCCATTTACCCTGGTGATGTGCTATGCAAAAAAGGAGACTTTGTTTAATACACTTTCAAGGAGAGAGAAAAAATACTAGAAACGGTTCATTTTATGAGAATATTTTAGACCCAGGCCTATGTCAATTTTGTAAATTACCTGTTTTTGTTTTGAATAATTTTTTTTCAGAAAGAATGTATGCATCCCGAATCACAGAGCCTTAAGTATGGGTTATAGAGCTTGATGCCCTGCTTCTTCTTGGATCCATTGCACAACAAAAAATGAAGGGAAAATACTTTTAAGAGAAAACAACTGATGCAATACAGTGCCAGGGGGATTCAAGAAGAAGCTATTTTTACTTCTTATTATGCAACATTGGCCAGAAATGAGACAAAGAAAAACAAAAGTGACTATCATACCAAGGATGCCTATAATTAGAATTGACATTACTGAACTAATAATGTTTTTTTTAAAGATTAGTATTTCACTAGTTATTTAAATATTATGAAGCACTGGCCTTTCTATTATGTTTTATATGATTATTTTGTATATAATGTATATTTATAAATTTAGAAGTCGGTGTACAACGGTTTTCAATTTGATGCCCAAAAAGTTGAATTTATTTGAATGTTTAATGTTGTTGTGATTGTTGTTTTTTAAACAATGAAAACATATCTGGTACACTGCTGTTTGTTTGCTTCATGTTGAGTAGAAGTGGTCAACTATAGAGCTTTAAATATGCCTAAATATTGGAATGATCAAGAAACTTCAGTCCATCACCTGGTGTGGAAATGGCTTCATTGTCTAGATGATGTATGACCTTGTAGCAGTTCTAATAATCCCATGTATACAGTGGTGACTGGTGAGTCAATGTGATGTGAAATCAATGTGCACGCAATCATTTAGTGGACAGTATTGTATTTGACAGCAATGTGAGAAATATGGACAAAAGTTATATATATAAAAAAAAGGAATAAAAATGTTAAAGTAGAGTACACAGAATGGTCAATATTTGTATGGAACTGTTTCTTTCAAAAAGAACACCAATCTCATCCTTAAGCCCCTTGTCGTCAAGAGTTCAAGTTGCTTTCAACTGGCTTAACACTAGAAAAGCTGGGTCTCAAGGGATCCCCTCCATTTGAGGCAACGAGCAGTAATTGTGACTCAAACGCTCTTAACAGTCTAATAAATACATCTAATATATGCTATCGAAAAGAAAAAAATTGGCTTGTGTTTATGAAGGTCTGGGTAACATCAGAATAAGAAAAAATATATATTTAAATTAACTCAATAGCATGTTCATTCATGTATGTTACTGTAGGCTATCTGTTGCCGCATGTGACTCTGTAGGAGGATTTGAAAAAGTCAATTTTTGGTGCTCAGGACAAAAAATTTACAAAATTGTTTGTGATATCGAAATTCTTACTACATACATGTGTTAAATAGACTTATTTAGGAAAAGTCAAGGATGGAGGGGGCATTACTTAAGAAATTGTAGAGATAATTGAATTTTTAATTCACATTGAGTCAAAATGACTCACTCTGCTCTTCTGGTGTTAAAATGTCAAGCTGTTTACTTGGACGTCCACCCAATAAGCTAAAATACTGAGACGAGGAGGGGGCACAATCTGGAAAAGAGGCTACTTAACAAAACCAGGCAGATGCTTTGGGGTGTGACCCTACACCACTGGGAAAATCAGTGCCTCCTCTCTAACTGAGCGTGAACGCAGCAAATATGGCCCCAAGAGTCCAATGCCAAGTTACTGGCAGCCTTGAAGGGGTGCTAAAGCCAACACATCACCCCAGCCAGTCCAGATCTCCCAACAAAAATAACTATCACATGCTTAACACCTGATCATCCATCTCTAGTATTATTTTGATTAGTTTGATTAATTATTTTGTCTTAACAAGCCTAACACCCAAACTTTTGTATTTTTTACATATTCTTTCTCATTTTATAACCGTTTCATTTTATAATCTACCACAAAGCCACGTATTTTCACTGTGTTATAATCAAAGCATCCTGTTTTTGGCCAAGTGACATCATTTCCTGCATCCCGTCAGATTAAAATGCACAGGACACCGGCCAACAACTTTTCTCACACATCTGTTACAGAAAGTCTGCATATTGATAGCATTTAAACTCTCCCTTTCCTATTTCCTATGGTTACAAATATCATGATCAATTGCTATATGTATTTCACAAGTATAAGATGTTTGATTATAAAGGCATCTATTCATCACAAAAGTCATTGAAGTCCTATAAACAACAAACATAGTGAATGACTGATTGAAAGAGAGTATGCTAAATGCGCTTCAGGCCAGCTTGAACAAAAGAGTATCAGGTGCTCGACTGAGGGACTTGTACATCCAAAAATATACCTTACCAAAGGAGACCCCAACTAGTGACTATCCAGAAAAATAAAGACAATTGTGAATGACTGCTTTACAACACTCAAACAATGAGAATAAAATCTAAATTAAACCTAAAACAGTTTAAAAAATAGAGTGTATTGACAATAATTTGCATGTTAACATTGAGGAAAGGGCATCTGATCTCAGGAAATACAGTAACTACAGGACTTCAGACAGAGGTTTCCTTTCTTCTTGTAATGTTCTTAATTAACACATGGGGGCAGTAAACCATACATGGAAGGTACTTCCAACATTTCCTTCAATACTTAAAATGAGAATTGGATAACTAGAGGCTTTGACAATGAGGTCATTACAAACAATTTAGTCTAATGGCATATGCAAAGCACGGGGAGTATTCTATATTTTATGATTTTGTGATGAAATCAAATAAACTATTGTATATGGAACCACATTATCAGACTGTGTTGTTCATGCCACGGTAGGACCAAAACATCATTGTCCTAGCCAGAGGTCAAAGAGGGCTGAAGGTAAATCGTCTGCTTAAGCGTCATTCATTGATCAGGTATGATACAAGCTTATATAGGGTGATAGAGAGACACCTAAGAAGAGAACATATGTTTAATGGGCTTTACAATACTTGGATCTTATTCTGCAAGCTAATGCTTCTATTTATAGCTAATCTCATTAGCTGCTTCTGCGGTATCACACTATGTGACACTCAAGGATATAATGGGAGCTCCATTTTCACACATGGTTAAAAAGAGACTGCAGGCTTGCTGCTTGCCTTACTTTCCTGACTGTGGAGAGCAATGAAGCAAACATTGATATACGTACAGTACTTCAAAGTACTTCAAAGAGAGTAAACATGTCTTTTTCAAACACACTACTATTGCACCAACATCCATGGTGGAATTGCAAGATCTCAAGCAAAGCATTTTTACAGGATATACTCAATTCAACTGACAAGATTGGACATTGGACAGCCAGTGTCACTGTCAATCTATGTATAACCAGGGAACATAATGTAAGAGCTTTCAACATCCTGTGAATGGGGCAAAAATAGCTTGCAGTTTCTGTGTTATGTAAACTATTCTCTGAAATACAATGAACGGATGGAAGAATTAATGAATGAAGAAATTAATTAATTAATTATTGAATTACTTTATATTTCTGTGTCTTTTATGTGGCTCATGATTATTAGACACCATTTTCAGTAAATGAAACGACTACAAGATTGCATGTACAGTAGGCTACATTGTACATTACTTCCAGTGACACCCCAAGTAAAGATTAAATGACACACTTAATAAATCCCCTCTCTTATCAAAATCAATTCAGACAGTAGAGGAGAGTGGGGTAAGTTGAGCAATTTTTTTCATTCAGCATCACTCCGTCACTAGAATTAGTATTATTTTCTAACAAAGATATCTACATATATTTCCCTGGAAATAATCAGAATTAATGTAAACATTCCAGTTTTGAAAACATAGCTTGTCCAAAAAAAGTGGTCTCTTGGCACAATTTACCACAGGTATGGGGTAAGTTCGGCCGCGGGACAGGGTATAACTCACCAGAAGCGGGTGGGCGGGGCAAGCAGAGCGGGGAGGGTGGAAAGGACGGGACAGGCAGAGCAGTGACAGTATGCTAGCAGGATAGTTCATATCTCCAGTCATCTTTGCTTATAGCGATGTTGTTTTCCATAAGTAGACAAATTAGTCTAATTTAGCATGTATGCTAAAGCCTCAACCCTTAGCTACCTCTTCCAATTCAAATGAGCTCGAAATAAAAGTGAATAATGACAACATTTGTATTGTTTTGTTTGACTACAGCGCTAGTGATAAAACAGAAAAATAGAGACACGTTCTAATTGAGCAGGCGTCAAAGCCGGCCCGGCTTCGTTTGGGTCATTATTCAAATGAATGCATTTTTTTTTACACTTGTAACCTAGGCCAGGCCCTGTTGTTACCTCATATCCCAGTGATAATGCCTTGCATTACGCTATGAAGAAAACACTTCAATTTGGTCAACTTACCATTGGCTAAAAAATTGGCTCAATTTATCCCATGGCCATTGGCTCAACTTACCCCAAGGCAAACATTTAGACTATAATTAGGCCACTCAGCTACAAGGATGCACTTTCATGCTAGGTTTAGGACCTCATATTGAAGCTTATAGAGACCCCAACTGATGTATAGAACAATCTTTAAATGATCCACTTTAGTTTAGATACAAGCATCATGAAACCTCTAACACAATACATTCATTTGACTTGGTGAAAATATTTTTGGGGACCCAATTTGCTTACCACTTTTTCCATGCCATGTGGTTTCTTCCTTCACAGACTCCATGAAATGATGACCTCTTCCTAAATATTTGGTCAAATTATACATTTTGTGTATGGTTTCCTAGAAACAATGGTGGCTCAATTTACCCATTTGGCTCAATTTACCCCCACTCTCCCCTACCATGTTATTGTTGTCAGTGTCTTCGTGAGATACGCAGCCAAATCATTATGGCAACATTGTAACATTCGAAAACTGGATTCCTGAGAATGTTTTGCTCTCGAGAAGGTTTCTAATTGGTTGGCTTGTACTTCTAGTACGACGAACTTCTATGATATCATTGGTCAGCAACGTCTTGGTCTGATGTCCCGCCACAACACATACACGTGTCTGTCTGTACTGTTATAGTAGTACTGCACATTGGCTGATAGACACACCAAACTGATTGTACTGATAGAAGTTGCAGTGAGAGATACTAGGCCTATGCATCAGCTCTTTTACATTTTATCAACATCTTGGGGTAGGCTATGATAGGGTTATTACGCATCAGCAAGACTATTCGAAACGCCAAGGAAAAAACATGGTCAGCGATATGCATTTATAGAGAATAGTTTAGTAGTCTCACGCTTCGGAATGCATCTACAAAGGAGAGTGAGCTCCACCGGTAACATCGTAGAACAGCTCCCACTGGCCACAGACCTCAATTAAACGTCAATTCCACTTTGGTTGTGGAAACAACGTTGATTCAACCAGTGTGTGCCCAGTGGGTTATTTCTTGACAGAAGAAAATAGGCAACATTTTACATCTTCTCTTACATCTTACCTGAACACCACCAACGAACCATAATGAAGCTTCTGGACATTACTACATCAGAAACACCAAGCCTGTATATATTCGGATATGGCTCCTTAGTCTGGAAACCAGACTTCAAATACAAGAGAAGCAACGTTGGTTATATCAAAGGATATAGTAGACGCTTCTGGCATGGGGACAATTTTCATCGAGGAGACAAAGACATGGTAAGTCTTTACCTTCAGAAATACAATCAATGTATTTGCTGCTGCTGTAGACAGACATAATATTATCTCAGATCAAACTGTTGAGCTTCAGGAAGTGGGAGGTCAAATAAAAAGTCTGATTTGTGATGCAAACATATTGGTTATGGAAATGTCAATGCACATAAAGGTCTGGCATGGCCAACAATACCTAACCAGATAGGCTCACATGTAGTAGGCTACTGTAGCCTAAGTGGAAATGAATTGGTAAAACAATGCTGAGTGTGCCTGCTCTCTTTATCTCTGTCCTTATCTCTCTGGTCCTTATCCTCCACAGCTAGGTAGAGTGGTGACTTTAGTGGAAGATCATGAGGTAAGTGGCCTTGTTTCAAAATAACCCAGAACACACCTACAGCTCACATTTGTTTTGATCCTGTCTACCATGAATAAGTACTGTACTTAGTGTTGTAAAATACATTGACACTGGCATGTCCAGAACATTTTGAATGGGGTGGATATACAGACCCAGTTTAGGGGGGCCATAACATATTGAACCTTAATCGATGCAAGGTGGATTTTTTCAATATAATTATGATGGTTCAACATATGAAATGCTTCAGCTTAGGTTTTGTACATTTCCCTGATCAAATAAATCATAAATAAATTCCAAAACACTTGTTACAGTGTTTGGATTCAAGGTCAGGATTTGATTTAAAAGTATTAGCATAGATCAGTAAATTCACTTGAAAGTGGCATCCAGAGTACAAATTATACTCTGACATTAGAGGGGTCTCTATTTTTTATGGGCTTTATAGTAAAGACATGTAATTTAACTTTTACCTTTTAATGTGTCATGAACACAACCAGCCATGATGTTGCTGGTATAGTCCTTCATGTTTATAAATTGAACTTTGTTGACTATTGACTTACTCCTTGAAGTTGAACTTCTCCTGTCCCAGTCTAACATCCATCTCTTCTCACTGCAGGCTTGCACCTGGGGGGTAGCGTATGAGGTCAGCGACTCCCAGATGGAGGAGTCTCTGCAGTACCTGAATGTGAGAGAGGCTGTGCTGGGGGGCTACGTCACCAAGATGGTGGAGTTCACTCCCAGAGAGAAGTGCCAAGGGTCTCTGCTCGCCCTGGTCTACATCGCCACCTCTGACAACCCCACATACCTCGGGCCTGCCACTCCCACAGAGATAGCTGCTCAGATTGCCATCTGCAGAGGCAACACGGGCCACAACATAGAGTACCTCCTCCGCCTGGCTGAGTTCATGAGGCTGTACTGTCCCGAGGTAGAGGATGACCATCTCTTCTCCATAGAGGCAGCCGCCCTGGCCCTGGTCATCTGAACAACCAGGGCCAGGGATACTCACATCAAACCAACGATACGACCACTCAATGCTACGACACGCGCTACCCTACTTGTTAATGTGATCAATGTGAAGACAATAACAATATGAAGACAGTGCGAGTCACTACACCTCATAAAAAAGGGTCAACATGTCATGATCACTGTTTCTGTTGTCCATTGTCTGTGAACGCCCATGACATTGAAATGTTTTAAGCTAAATGAGATTAGAAGTAAGGTAGTAATAGCCACCCTTTGCCTTGATGAAAGCTTTACACACAACCAGCTTCACCTGGAATGCTTTTCCAACAGTCTTGAAGAAGTTGGCAAAGGGTGGCTATTTGAAGAATCTCAAATATAAAATATATTTTGATTTGTTTAACACTTTTTGGTTACTTCATGATTCCATATGTGTTATTTCATAGTTTTGATGTCTTCACTATAAATAGTATATATAAAGAAAAACCCTTGAATGAGTAGGTGTTCTAAAACTTTTAACCGGTAGTGGGGGTTGGGAGCCTGTGGGCACCACGCCCCACGCCTTGCAGGGGCTGCGGAGGTGTATGATACGACATTGCTTTTTACCTGTTTCTGGTCTGACTGGTCTTGTTGTAGAAATCAAATAAAATAAAATATTATTTGTCACATGCGCCGAATACAACAGGTGTAGACCTTACGGTGAAATGCTTACTTACAAGCCCTTAACCAACAATGCAGTTTTAAGAAAAATAAGTGTTAAGTAAACAATAGATAAGTAAAAAAATAAAAGCAGTAAAATAACAGTAAAAATAACAGTAGAACATGCATGGATCATGTGTATCTCAGGATGAGTCTTTGCTTGAGTCATGCAAATACTTATCCTGTGATGAAATAAGATTATTGCATTGCTCAATGTACTGTATATACTGTAGCTGTTTCTATTTTTATATGAAGTCTATTTACCTTTGTTTTGTTGTAAAAGGAACAGGGATTTTTATGGTTTTGTTTTCTAATCAACTGAAATAAATAACATTGAACTTGAGATCTTGCCAAGACCCCTGGTTCTTTCCAATACACAGTGATAAGTAAAAATACTTTAAAGTACTACTTAAGTTTTTTTGGGGTGGTATCTGTAAGCAAAAATGCCCACAGTCATCAAGTTAGGTAAGATATCAATATTTAATATGTTTAAGTGATTAATAAGACTGAACATATTAACTAGATCAAAGGTAATTCAATAATAAATATTATGTTGCACCTTTAACCAATAGCCTAACAAATGAACCACTCTTGAAAAAAAATTTATTTTGAATGTCTTAATTAAGACATCCTCTATATCAAATTTCAGCCAGACTGACCAGTCAGCCCGAGCTGCCTGCACGCCCGACCCCCACCAGTCTAGTCAAGAACTAAACTCTCTCCCAACACAATTTCCTTCCCAGTTCACAGCTATATATTTTTGATTCCCAAGGGAAAGGTTTGGAAACAAAAAACAAAACAAAAAACCCCACATACACCTCAAAAATACATTAACACACACAAACAGCAAATACTCCATATAATTAATCTCATAGGACTAATATAACTGTAGAGCTCTTTTTACTTGCACACAATATAGCTGGGTCACCCAGTCCTGTCCCTAGGGGTCCACCACCCTGCAGCGCCCCAACCCAACATAGCCCACTCAGCTTTAGGATCTTAGTGAAACATTCATTATTGGTTTCGGGTGTTTTAGGCCAAGGCCAGAGTGACAACCCACAAGACGGCAGACCACCAGAGCCAGGACTGAGCAGCCCAGCAGCTAGGGATTGACTCCTTTAGTCATATTGTATTCCATATAAGGCATCCAGACCTTATGAAAGTTGCCCAGTGTACCCTTAATCTTGCAATAAATCAAATCTAGTGATACATGACTTGACATTGTTGGAGGATAACCAACCTTCCAATTAATGGCATTGCATTTCTTAGCCGCTATAAATGCTTGGTTAGACAGTTTCTTCAGATAACAGTCTCCAGCATCAACATTTCCAAGCAAACAAAAACAGGGAGAAGGGGAAATCTGAAGACATGCTGAGACAAAAGAACATACTCTTTGCCAGAATTCAGCCAGCCTTCACAAGACCATAACATATGCAAATATGTCCCCTTTTGTGTTTCTGAGTGCATGTAATACAGCTTCACTGGCGTATAGTATGTTCTATGGATGGCCTTAAACTGCAGTAATATATGTCTGAGTTGATATGAACATGATTTAAACATATCTGTATCCATTCATCATCATATCACCCATATACAAAAATGTATGCACGCATGACTGTAAGTCGCTTTGGATAAAAGCGTCAGCTAAATGGCATATTATTATTATTATTATTATTATCAACAGCTTCTACCAGGTCTTACTCACATGTTTGTGTCATCAGGAAAAGCCTCTATCAACCCTTGATACAGTTTGGAAATCAACTTTGAAGGTTTGTCAGACTGCCTTAAAACAGCATCTGGCTTGTCCAGTGGTTGCTTCACAGAGAGAATAAAGTGTTGTATCTGCAAAAATTCACCTCAGCTCATCACCGACTGGTCTTCCCTGGCTCCCTGACCCTGCTGAGACCCCTGTCAACATCTGATCCTCCTCAAATGAGGCATGACAAATAATTACCTTGGTGTACATATACATTATACTATCCAAGAATAGAATCAATGGTTCAATAATTGAAATGACCATTATTCCCAGATCCCAGACTGTAGCTTTAAGCTTAAGCTGCTGTCCTGTAGCTACTAATTCAAGATGGAACTTTGTATCATCACTGATATTGTTAATATAGGCCTACTGCAAAATTCACCTGAGCTCCGTAGACTGGTCTTCTCTGGCTGTCTGACCCTGCTGGGACCCCTGTCACTATCTGATCCTGCTAAGACTTGAGCATAGTGTTGTGTACTGACTGCACTAGAGGGCTGCGGGACCTGCGGGTCCTGACAGAGATCATTGCGGCGTGGTCGCATTTTTCATGCTGCGGCAGGAGCGGGCGGTCAGACAGACGACTTTGGGATGAAAATATTTTTGTTGTCCCACAGATTATTTGGAAACGGTCCTCTTTCTGCTTTGAATGTGTTAGCCTACTTATTGTATTGAAAGCACATATTTTTTTGCATTATTCACACAATTCGCTGCTTCAACTTCAGTAGCCTACCTCTCCTAGTTGGGTGTGAGAGTTCAGGTGCACCTAGTATGTGTGGTCTCATTGAAATAGAGTAGGTTGCCTACATGGGCAGAGAATCAGGTGGCATTTAACTTAAATATGAAATTAACTTAAATTTTATTAGACTGTAGTTTACTACTAAAAATGAAATCATAATTTAAAAGGAAAAGGCACGAAGCACACATAGGTTAGGCCATTATGGTGATTGAGCGTTGTCTCTGCCTGCAAAAAGGTAGGCTATATCCTATAGGCCAATGCAAAATGTAGCAAGTGTCGCTGTCATCATTCTTGCTGCTTCAAGTTCAGTAGCCATACCTGCGAGATCAGGTGCGTGTGTGTTCTCAAAATAGAGTAGGCTATAGCCTATGCATGGGCGGAGAAGCACGGGGCAGTTATCTTTTCAAGGAAATGTACTTCCTAAATAGGCCTATGATTAGGCTATAGTTTACTACATTGCCTAGAAATAGGCCTAAATATTGATCACCCATATCTCAAAGTCTGAAAATCTTCCCACTCCTTAAAGGTAGGCTATAAAAATAGCCCAAGAGAAAGTACAAGTCTCTCCAACTCTGCTCTCTTCAAACTACATTTAGCATATTGGCTGATATAGCCCAGTAATACAATATAAGGGCCATGTGAGAATCTCTGGTAATTTAACCTATTTCTTAAGTTATTTTTGCATATTTGATATTGCCTATATGGCGCAAAATTGCTGTGACCATGGCTGGCAAGTGAGCTGCGTCACATACGCCTAAAATAACATTGCGGGACTGCGGTTGGGTTTGGGACCAGTTCTTGCGGTGGGGTTTGGGACAAGCGGATGGGAGTCAGACAGAAAGCCAGCGGGTGCTGGCAGGAACGGGATGAAGAAATCGGTCCAGCGCAGATCTCTACTGTGCACCATGACAGTGAAGCCTGTAATGTTAGAGCTGTTTATTACAGTGTCAGTGTGAAAAGTAGGGAATTAGCTGGGGAAACTGACAGATCAATAACGTTATATTGCCAAACTGACTAATAAAACTAACATTGCCCTGAAAAACGTCAGAATATCAATCTTCAATCATTTGGCCGATGGTTTCATCATTTGATTCAGGTCTAGTGTGATTGAGGCAAAAAGAATAGCTAACATTAGCCAACATGACCCCCACGTCCCCAGTGAAAGTTGCGCCCCTGTTTAAAACCAAATACTTTTAGACTTTTACTCAAATAGTATTTTACTGGGTGACTTTCACTTTTACTTGAGTCATTTTCTATTAAGGTATTTTTAATTTTACTCAAGTATGACAATTGGGTGCTTGTTCCACCACTGCCAATACAGTAGAAGCATATGCTTGTGGCAGTCTAATGGTAAAGCTTACATAGTGTGCAGATAGAGCTATATAGAGGATTGGGTTTGAGGAAATAACCTGTTTTTCTCTAAGCGCTCCTGATTTTCAACACAGAAAGGCATCCTAATGCCTAAAAGTTTATGAACTCCTGAACATATGTTTCCTGGTTACGTGCCAAACCTCAAACTGTTTTACTCCTGCACACCCTCAAATCCCATGGCCATATACAGCTACACTATACACTCTGTGGTCAACAGTCTAGACTATTCTGTAGCAAAGGGGAGAAACGTGAGGTGCTGTAAACTTTATTTATAGAATTCCAGGAAATAGTAAGCTCACAAGACCACTAGAGTGCCTTTGGACTTTATTCAATCAAACCCGCAATGCACAACTAAATCAGACTGCCCCTGCATGGAGGAAAGGCACATTTTCACTCAAATCAAAATGAGTTTTCCCCACTGAACATGTTCTGTCAGTCACATATTGTTTTAATATATGGT